GAAGGGAAGGGAAGGGAAGGGAAGGAGGGAAGGGAAGGGAAGGGAAGAGAAGGGAAGGAGGGAAGGGAGGGGAAGGGAAGGAGGGAAGGAACCAGCATGGCTCTTAGAGTCCGTGTGGCATCTCTCCCAACTCTGCCTTCAGTGATGTCATGTGGTAGCTGGAAATCGACCAGGTGGGAGCTTTCCACCATGGAAACTGGCAAATTCTGCTAACCTGCGTCTCCACCCCCACCCTCTCCCCGCACTGCCCCCCAGCGCCCGAGAGCCAGCTGTTAGACACTTGCAGCACCCTGCTGCTGCGGGACCACAGCCAGCTCTCCTTGAGGAAAAGATTTCTGAACTTCACATGGTAATGGTCTCCATATCCCTAGGAGAATGGACCTTCTGAGGGGAAATAAGACTGTCATTGACTTGCCGAAGGCACTTTGCTTTGCTCTTAGGATAGACACCTTAACGTGACCTTTAAGGCCCTGAAGGGTTTGGCCCCATCTGTCTCTCTCATTGGGTCTCATCTAGGGTGGGGTGCTTTTCCCAGGAACCTTGGCCTCCTTTCCATTCCTTGAAAGCGCCACGCTCCCCTCTGTGGTGGGGTCTGTGCACACCCTAACCCTTACATGTAGTTGTGCCGGGACGGTCCCAGTTTAGCACGGACAATCCCGCATCCTGGGAACTCATCAAGCCGCAGGTAAACACTCTGCTCCTGTGGAAAGTTTCTTCCGTTCATCTCGTTACTCTTGGTCAGAGCGGAGAGGCTTCCCCGACTCCCTTGCCTAACCCATGCCCTCCCCAGACAAGGCTAACCCCCCCGTTTCGCTTTGCCAGCCCCAGTTCACGGTACAGCACTTACTGTGGATTTAATTGTAAACTCATTCCTGTGACTCTTTGATTCATATCTGTCTCCCCCACGACACAGCGATTTGCTTAGTGTTACAGCCCTAACTCGTGGCCCAGAGCATCCAATAGGTACCCACATATGTATTGAATAAATCAATGAATAAAGGAACTCCCCACCCAACGATCTTTCCACGGTGTGACAACACCCCTGTGGATTGGAACACAGAACAGCTTAAAGGTGGGAGGGGGGAGAACAGAACCAATGGCTCTCATTGGATAAAAAAGCAGAGGAACAGAGCTTTCAAATGGTTTTTAAAGGTACGCAGGAGAGCTGGGAATGCGTCAAAACCAAATTTCTGCCCTCTTTACAATTTGTGCCCGTAGCAAGCCTGAACCTGGCAGGTACGGCCCGTGTAGTTCAAGGTGTCAACATCTGACCCCTGCGTCTGGACACACACATATGCTTTCGTTTGGGGTAAGGCTACACTCCTATTTGAGGCTTATTTTGTAATGTTTGATCCACCGCAATATAATTGAAATAGAAAAGCATCTCGTTTTAGAACCGCAAGCCCATACTGAAGCACATCCTTTACACAGGAGGCCTGTGTGAGCAAGGGCCCCAGCTGGTTGCAACTGCGCTCCCCGCACCGCTCGAAGCCCCAGACACACGTCCACCCCCGGAGGTCCCGGCAAGGACTCTGGGAGCTGTAACCCCACGCACACGATCATTCACTGACAACCGTGATTAATTAGCGTTGAAGCGGGAGCAGTAAACGCTCTCCGTTTGAGGCTTGTTCCTTCATTCATTTTCCATGTCCCCCAGTTAGGCAATGCTCATGGGTGGGAAGTGCTTTTGCTTTAAGGAATCAGTTAAAAATCAAACGGCTCATTTTGCACACTGTGAGGAAAAGCGGTCCTCCCCACCCTAAAATTGCCTCACCCATCCCATCACCGCCCGCCTGCTGGAATCACAAGACATGGTGCCAACTGGCAAGCATGGGGGTGCGTTTTTAACTCACGGGGGAGTGGAGCGAGGAAAACATTTTTGTAAGGCTGTTTAAAAGTTATTTGCAAGGGAAACAATTAAAAAAATGTGTGGCCGTTCTCTTGATGTTGAAGAAATGCTATATCCAGCATCCAACTCCAGTGGGCCAATTCTCTCCTGCAGGATTTATGGGACCAATACTGCCCAGCAGACAGAAATCTACATGGAAACATGTTTCACGATAACAGAACTGTAATAAGAATAATACCCCAAATGCCCAGACAGTTTTATAGCGCTCTGGTCATGGAATTCCACTTTCTCTTTGGAGCCCTCGGGATGATAAATATGTCTGTGTACATCACCGCCAGAAGCTGCCTGGTGACCAGCTGTCAGGATGGCCCAGTCTGGGCCTTCAATCTTCTAAAATTAGCTGGGAATACCATGTCTCCACAGGCACACATGTGTCACATCTCGAGATGGATACTTAGGTTTCTACTCAGAAATCCCTACTTCTTGTTCAGTGAATCTGCAGTTCACGAACAGTCCCCCCATCTATACCCACCGACAGGCCACAGGGTGAGTTCAGTCTCAAAGCACTGTCGTGGGAAGGTTTCATTCTGATGATTCTTTGGGGTGGAGACCCTTTATAAACTCAGAGGCGGGGGGTCTAGATGGACATCAATATTTGGACGTGTTGCTGTCTCTGACTTCTCTTCTTCATGTTCTTCTATTTCAGGAGCTAGCATGGGGCTTTCTGTGCGCACAAATCAGTGCCAGAAGGATCTTGTCACAGAGAGGCTCTCTGCAGTTCACAGCGGGGGCTGAGGAAGCACACGTCAAGCTCTGTCTTCACCCTGAGCTGATTCACACGTGGGCCGTAGCTGCTTCAGGACTGGTGTATCTGCACCGCTCTCCACATAAGGCCTCCGGGACAACCAGCCAATCGCAGCACCATTCCTCTCGAGACTAAATACAACCTCAGAATCTTTCTCAACCCAGTGCCCCAGAGAGCAACCACCAATCCGTTAAATGAGCTCAGCGTTGAAAACTACGTGCCACTCCGTGGTCTATATATTTAGACTCTTAAACAAAACAGAACAAATTACTTCCTAAGACAACTGGCTTCTGGGGGGAAGAACTTTGTGTGATCCATTGTTTAAAAATAACCCATTATTCACTTCTGATGCATTCCCACCATGTCTGTGTTCCCGCTGTACTTTACTGGAGCTGTTAGTGTTACTTATGCCGTCGTATGAAAGTGTCTGCATTTTCTTCCAGGCGAGTCCCTTGAATTTGAGGGTACCAGGCTCCCTCCGTTACTCCCGACGTATGACGGGAGTATTACTGATGCTGAATAGATGCTCAGTGACTTGAAATGAAAGCATTTAGATGATTTACCCAACCACGGCCCTGTGTTTCTGGAAGGGAAGGAAGCTAAACGCTTTTGGGATTCCAGGAAGCACTTATGTCAGGGGACGAAACCAGGGATGGCAAAGTGCAAGGGTAGGGGCTAGGGCTTGCAAGCACTCTAACTGCAATCAGAACCAAGAACCAGTGCCTCAAAGTGCAGCTGCTAATTCAAGGTTTATCCAAACCCAGGGAATGCTTTGGTCAGCAAAACTGGACCCAAAAACATCTCCTGAGAACAAGCCGTCTCATAAGATTTCCGTTACCTGCTGCTTCCAGGCGGACTGAAAATACCTCCAGGCCGCCTTTCCAGCGGTGGTTTTGGCACTTTTTCTTCCAGACGGAGCCCACAAGGGCAGGAGTGCACAGAACTCAAACGTCCTGGGAGGAGAGTTGATTAAATGTTTTCAAACCTCAAAAAAGGAAAAAAAAAGAAAAAATCAGTTCAGGTAGAGTTCAAGTTTGGGGGTCAAGCTTCAGGGACCCCTGGGACTCTTTTGTAGGGAGGCCATTAACTTACTTCTTGAAATGGTACCCTGGAGGGCTTACCGGGGCAGCAGTCAGCGCGCAGCACCGCCCTCCTTTGTTTTGTGTGGTCCGCCCGTCACGAAGTGACCCAGAATCACGCTGCCCTCCTTCTGCTGCAGGAAGACGCGAGCCAAGTCACAGAGAGGGTCGCCTTCATCCCGAGGCAGAGGCCGACTTTCTCTTCCACTCCCCTCTGCTTTCCTCTTGAAATCAGAGCTTCAGATGGCTGACCCTGGCACAGATCTGCTTTTCCTGGGGAGATAGGATCGTTTCAAGCTGCTTTTCCACATGAAAACCTTCAGAGGCCCTTGAGGACGCCACCACCGCCCGCCCACGCCCACAGATGAAGCTGGAAGAAACAGTCCAGCGTGTGTTTGAAATCCAAGTCGTTCCAAGGTTTCTGCCTCGTTCTGGGCCCTTTCCAGCTGCTGCCCAGCGCGGCCGGCTCCTGCCACGGATGCGACTTTCCGGAACAGGAAATCGGGCTTCATTTCCCCTCGAGTGCCAGGATCATGCACGGAGAGGCGGCGGGGACACGCGGAGCGCCGCGCCACCGGGCCCCTCCCTCCGCCCCGCCCCTTCTCTTTGCTTTTCGCTTCTCTTCTGCGTTTCACTCTCTGCAAAGGGGCTACGGATTTTGATTACTTCTTCCGAAGGAAGGCTAACAACTCTACCGCCTAAGATGATGACATGATAACAACTGAAAAAGACTAGGAGGACGGCACCCAAGCCAGTGCCCGGGTCCTGATGGGGAGGACGTCTTCCAGGCAGAGCCGGGGGAGAGGGGGCCCGAGGCCTCTTCACACCCCGGCGCCTTGCTCACTCACGATCCGCTCACCAGAGGCTCCTGGAATTACGTGCACTGTGTGAGAAGTACAGAGAGGCGTGTAGGTTCCTCCCCCGCCCCGTCCAGTAGAACCCCTGTCCCGAATAAAGGAAAATAATAATAGTGAAGAGCTTGTGTCCCTGTCAGAAAACATATCTGCATCTTGCTTTACAAGGACTAACTTAACCCAACAGGAAAGCAGATGTCAAATCCGACAAACAGAGGTCTGGTTTCTTGTCCCAGGAGCTCTGCGTGAGCTCAGAAAGGGAGAGAGGGCTCTGTCCTTAAGCTGGGGTGAACAGATGGATAGCTTAGGAAGGCACGTCTCATTCAGTTCTACATTTTGAATATATGTGTGTGTGTATATATATATATATATATATATATACACACACACACACACACACACATAAAACATATATACATGAAACACACACACATATGCATGTGTATGTGTGTATCATTTTTCTCTACCTGAATTCCTTAAAATGTACTTCTAGAAAGAAGGAGAAAGGGCTATATAGCAGATGACTTTAAAAATGTTCTATTTGAGTAAACTCCTTGCTGTAACACCGTGTGGTGAGGCAGCGGCAGAACGGAACTCAGGCGTCCACTAATTCCCACCCCCTCTCTCACATTCCGGCCACGGTAGAGCTTTGCTTGCCGTGTCAGGTTAACTTAGCCTTTGTGGCTGCAAATTAAAGCTTCATTCTGAAAAGAGGGAGCTAGTGGATGAGGTGGCGAGAAGGAATAGGAGTTTTAGCGACATCGGCATTGACTTGGCCACGTCCATGGCTGCCACGCCAGGCCACGCCGGGAAGGCGCCCACGTCCGTGGCTCTTTCCGTGGCTGGTGCGTGCAGTGCAGCTGCCGTGCTCCAGGCAGGACCTGTCGTGTTGTCACATGAAGGCGACAGCTACTTGAATCTGTGCTTGAGAAAGCAGCCGTGGACAACACGCGGCTAGTGGCGCGTGTGTGCGTGTGTGTGCACGTGTGTGTGTGCGTGGGGGGGGACCAGTAAAACGTTCTAGGTGGAAATAGGCTGTGGGCTGGCTTTGGCCCACCAGCCGGAGTTTGTCGGCCCGTGTGTTAGAGGATCCAACTTCTCTTCGTTCCTTTCACTCGTGGTGTTTAATCAGAAGTCGCTGTGATGACAAAGAGCAGCTCCCGAGGATTCCCGGGCAGCCCCTGGACGGGGGGACGTCCCTCCGTGTAGGAACATTCTCGGCAGGTGTGCCCGTTCCACCAGGCAGCCCACCAAGACGCTCGGACGCCTCCCACCCAGCTTGACGGCTGAGGGCTGCCTGACCTCTGAGACGAGGGGGCAAAGTCTAAATGTTTCTCCTCTGAAGCCCTGCTACCTGATGCAGCAGCCTCAAGGGACAGTTTAATCTTACCGGCCCCCCCTTTAGATACAAAGCCGCCTTCTCCCCCAATACTGTTCAGCTGGGCTAGAGGACCCCGTTATGTATCCAGAACTACCCAGTCCGAGACGGCTCCAGGGACCCAGTCCTGCCCTACCAGGACCCAGAGCCATGGTCCCCACCAGGCACAGAAGTGCTGGGAGGTCAGTGAGAGGTCACCACGCTGCTCTCTCTGGTTCAAGCGCGCACACACTGTCTGATTGTGCTGGTCCGACTCGTTAGACTCACACGGGCTCATTCAGCCAAACAGGTGAAACTGATTTATGCCAGGCTCCCAGGGCTGGGGGCTGCACGGCAGAACGGCTTTGTGTGGGAAGACTGGGATCCTTCTGGTTTGAAATTTGTGAGAAATTCAATTTAAGCGCGCACCCTTTTCACCTCTGAGGCAAGCCTGAGGCCACCTGAATCAAAACCAGATGGACTGTCAGGCCTAAAGACAACAAAGAGTGGTGGGATATCCTGCCTGCAGAGGACCCCGGAGCAAGGCTGAAACACAGCCGGCTTGTTTCTAGACCTCGGCCGGGATGCTCCCCAGATCTGGAGCGTGGCCCCAGCCCTTTGTCTGCCCACAACGCCCAGGGCATTGCCTCGTCGTAGCCCGGTTACTTGAGCTGGTTTAAGTGCGACCCTGAGCTCCCCGGGCCTCAGCCCCTTCCTTTGCACTGCACCCCTAGCAGGGCTGATTTGTTTTGGCCAGGCTGGCAGGTGCCCTCCCAGCGCTGAGATCTGAGCTCCCACAGGGGTGTCAGCGGTGACCTGAAGTCTTGGGTGGCCGCCTTCACGCTCTCGCTTTCCCCGTCAGCTGATACATGTACCACCCACGTGCTGGAAGTTTCCGGCGAGCTCCAAGATTCCTGTAGGAGGGGGCGCTGACCTCCTCCGCCCCCAGCTCCCACCAGCCGGCGGGCCCTGCAGAGGAGCCAGGGCGCTCTCGGAAAGCCGGGCCCTGCCTCTTCATAAACAGTGAGGGAGTGAGCATTTACACATGCGGCTGTGAAACACAAGCCTCCAACTGACAACTGAAATCGGCCGTAAACAAACGCTGCCTGAGTCCAGAAGCTTCTTCTAAACCGCCTTTGAAAAGAGGCGAGGGAGCAGCGGGTTATTTTCCAGAGACTGGGTCTGTCTGGGGGCTCCAATCACGCGGGCGTCCCCAGAGTGGACCTTTCCCTCGTCCCTGCCTTCTGAATCCCCGTGCGTCGTACCGGAGGCCAGCAGATCCCTGAGTGGCCTCTGCAGCCGTCGGGCAGCGTCTCCACTGCCACCAGGGTGCCCAGGGCTGTGCTGGCCTTGGTGTCCATCTCTCTCTCCAGGCACGAGACATCCAATCAGATTATGGAAGAAGGCCCCCCTGCCCCCAGGGGACTTACGTCTATTCCCATCATGCTGCCCAAGCCAGACACCGGTCCCAGCTGTGAAGACAGCACAAAGCCCTGGGGGCTGCGAGGGAGTCCAGGCCTCCCTTGGCCCAGCCGTCCTACCTGGGCCTGCCCACCTGCATCCGGGGGGGCGTCCAGAGCACTTGACCAGCCCCCCAGGCCAGGTGTTGGGGTGGCGCCTCATCTGAGCGGGAGGTGGACGACACTGGAGTCTCGTGGAATCTTTCCCTTGCACACGTTTAAAATCACTTCAGGAATTAGGCTACAGCATCCTCACTACATCCCCGACCGGCGAGAGGGGGACACGGGGGACTGGGGGGGGGCACGTGGTAAATCCTGTCGAGTTGCTTACGCAAGAGAAATCCAGGCACAGCTAGTATCGCAGACGGCAGAGCTCCCGAGCACTGAGAGCGTGGACGCCAGGGGCAGACACACGTGCACACGCACACGCATGCACGCTGGCCGCCTTGACAGCCTGCGGGGTCAGTCAGGAAGAGAGGAGGCGCCTGCTGCTCAGACCGAGGGCTTCTCCCTGTTCCTCCCTCCTCCTCCCATTACACCTCGAACCCGGGGCTGTGGGGGCCCGTTGAGGGTGGAACAAGTGCCCTGAGAGGCCACCTTTGCGCAAGAGTGGCTGGATTTAAAATCAAAGCAAAGGGGGGAGCGGGGCAGTGCTGGCAGGGCGGCCGGGCTGGTCCCCGAGGGAGCGTGGGTGATGTCCGCAGCTTCCGACGGGCCCAGAGGCTGCCTCACCAGCCTGTGGGGTCCCCGAGGCCTCTGCGGGTTCTGGGGAGAAAACGGACGAGAGGCAACAGCGCTGGTGCCACCAGGCCCGACGGTGCAGCGGGAGCCTGTGTGGCCTGGTCAGCACAGAAGTCCACGACCTGGGAAGTGGGGAGGCTGGTCAACCCGAAGGGCCCCCGAGCTCAAAGGTGAGCGTCTCGCCACTGGAGTCGGCCCGCCCGGGTTCTTGTCACTTGTCCTCTTTGGTCTTGGGGTACAGAAAGGGTGAAAACATGGGGGCAGGGAATCGCAGGTAAGACATAGCCAGTGGTTCTTAACCTCAGCTGCTCCTCTCAACACTTGGGGAAAACACTGAGGAGTGCGGGGTCCAGACCGCATCGGAATCCCTCCTCCTGGGGCCCAGGCACCAGGCGATTTTTAAGGCGTCTACCCCACAATGATCCCACTGTGCCACCGGGTGGAGGCCCGCTGGATGGACGGCTCAGGGGTTGGTGGGTCCTGATGGCCGTTTGCAGGCAGGAAGGGACCAGGTCGAATCTCAGCACCGGGATGAAGGGGAGGCTTGATTCCAGGGAGTCTCAGAGCTTATTCAGAAAATCTGGCGGGGGAACCAGAGCAGACCTATTGAGTGTGTGTGTGTGTGTGTGTGTGTGTGTGTGTGTGTGTGTAAATATTCTCCAAACATTATGTAATAGATATATACACATGCATGCGCACATGTGTGTGTATATATGTTGTTTGGGGGATATTTAGTTCTTTTATTGTATACATATGTATGTGCACATGGTAGTGTATAGTTCATTTTTATTGTGTATAGACACATTATAGTGTGTCTATACACACACACACACACACACACACACATATGTTTGTTTGGGG